TGGTTAGCGCGCTCGACTTGCAATATGAGAGTAGGGTTCCGAATCCTGTCACCAAACATGCTTCTCCTTTCAGCTGTGAGGGCAGAGTAAGCGTGGCATGACCCGGTGGTTAGCGCGCTCGACTTGCAATATGAGAGTAGGGTTCCGAATAATGTCACCAAACATGCTTCTCCTTGCAGCTGTGAGGGCAGTGTAAGCGTAGCATGACCCGGTGGTTAGGGCGCTCGACTTGCAATATGAGAGTAGGGTTCCGAATAATGTCACCAAACATGCTTCTCCTTTCAGCTGTGAGGGCGTTATAATGTGACGCTCAATTAAACATTTCGTTGGTAAAGAGGTATATATATATATATATATATATATATATATATCCCAAGAATTGGTGACGATGGCTAACCGCCTTTCCTCTAGCCTATTACTTTAAGTTGAGTAGCTTTGCGCGAAAGTCAACAAGTATCTTCCAGTAAATGTAATAGTTCTGTTTAGTTTCTTTAATTATCCGAAAACTATCTTATGTTTTGGATACTTGCCTACCTCTAAGAGCACTTATCATTTTCCTTTTAACTTAACACTATCCTAAAGTAGCTTCAATCAAGCTCACAAAATAAAAAAGCAACTGATATCGGAGAGTAGCTATTGTAAGCATCTGCACACGGTAACCAGACCAGTAAGAGAATAAGATGTAAAGACTGCCATAAATCTGACTAGTAAAATGCAAAAGAATTTATTCAAAGGTGTCGACAAAGAGAAATAAGCATAATGCGCGAATTAACTAGATGCAGCTTAACATCGTTTTAAAAATGTTATTCAAAAATACGTCTTAACCTGTTAAATACCCACATGACAAAACAAAATAATCCCTCCCAATAGATAGATGTAAAAATAGTATTGAAAAATACGATTTAATTTGTTAAATACCAACATCACAGTCCCCCAGCGGCACAGCGATATGTCCACGGAATTACAACGCTAGAAACTTTTTGCTTAATTACAAACAAGCAAACAAACCTTACAACTCAGGTTTATCCCTTAGTGATTTAGACACAATACTTATGTTCAGAGATGTTCAGGAGATTTGTACAAAAACGTTTCGATAACTTGGAATTTAGTGACTAAACTAACTGTGCATGAAAAAGTCCTTTTTTTCGGGCTTTTAACTTCATTTTGAATCAGTGCTATATTGTTACGAGTAACGAGTCAAAAGTTGTGTTCATTACAGGAACCGTATTCGGTATAGTGAAGTCAAACTATGAAAGGAAAAATGGGACATTTTTGGCACCGTGCTTTCTAAACATTAGGTGTCAAGTCGAAAATCTGTAGCAACAAAGAAAGTGTTGATCTACAGTCACATAAAGTATCAAACTTTGTACTTAGAGAAAGTATTAAAACTTGTAGTTACAGATAGTATTAAAAGATGTAGTTACAGATAGTATTAAAAGATGTAGTTACAGATAGTATCAAAACATGTAGTCACAGAAAGTATCAAAACATGTAGTCACAGAAAGTATCAAAACATGTAGTCACAGAAAGTATCAAAACATGTAGTCACAGAAAGTATCAAACCGTGTAGTCACAAAATGTATCAAACTGTGTCGTCACAGAAAGTATCACACCATGTAGTCACAGATAGTATCAAAACATGTTGTCACATAAAGTATCAAACCGTATAGTCACAGAATGTATTAAACTATGTAGTTACAGATAGTATTAAAACATGTAGTTACAGAAAGTATCAAAACATGTAGTTACAGAAAGTATCAAAACATGTAGTTACAGAAAGTATCAAAACATGTAGTTACAGATAGTATCAAAACATGTAGTTACAGATAGTATCAAAACATGTAGTCACAGATAGTATCAAAACATGTAATCACAGATAATATCAAAACATGTAGTCAAAGAAAATATCAAAACATGTAGACACAGAAAGTATCAAACCATGTAGTCACAGATAGTATCAAACCATGTAGTCACAGATAGTATCAAACCATGTAGTCACAGATAGTATCAAAACATGTAATCACAGATAGTATCAAAACATGTAATCACAGATAATATCAAAACATGTAGCCAAAGAAAATATCAAAACATGTAGACACAGAAAGTATCAAAACCATGTAGTCACAGATAGTATCAAAACATGTAATCACAGATAATATCAAAACATGTAGTCAAAGAAAATATCAAACATGTAGTCACAGAAAGTATCAAACCATGTAGTCACAGAATGTATCAAAACATGTAGTTACTGAAAGTACCAACATTTAATCACAGAAAATATCAGAACCTAGTCACAGAAAGTCAAAAAGTATGAAACCATGTAGTCTCGGAAAGTATCAAAAACACGTGGTCACAGAATTCTCAACTAGGTTCTCAGATACATTTGGCTGAGTTTTCTCCAGAAGCTTCACCACTTGAGGGCGACAGGAAGGATATGACTTAAACATTGAAACTAACGCCCCCAAATGTTTCAAAAAAACATTCTCTAGAATTAAGGACTGGGTTCTGGGCAGGTCATTCGAAACGTTGATGTTGTTAATTGGAAACCAACATGGTTAACGTGTTTTGTGTGTGTATGTGTGTGGCAGAGAGAGCACTATTCTGGTTGAACAACACATTGGACTGCTAAATATAACTTTAACATGACTTCTTAGTCGTTTTCGACTAATGGCTCGTGATATTCACGGAACGTACTAACTTATTGATAAGTCCCATGACTAATGCGCATTATGCAACCTCCAACAAAAATTTTCACAGCTGACACAGCACTAACAAAGTCTAAGTGTTCATCCGCCTACCTCCAGACCGACAGTCAGCCATAACTGCTGGATGAAGTGTTTTCATCACTATCAAACATTTGCGACCAAAACATCAGGATCCCAGCCAGTGTTGTTTCCTAAGCAAAACAGTACAAATACTTTTCTGTTGTGGTATACTGTATGTATATCCTGCAGCAACGCCATTGGGATGTAAGTTTTTTTTTGGGGGGGGGGTAGGCTAAGCCTCTGGAATCTCTTGGGTTTTTCTAAAATGAAAATACAGTAATATGTAAAATATACAGTGAAAGCGTAAAACTAGCATTTTTTATCAGGTTATTCTTATCTTCTTTGGGGTGAATGTGAATTGCCCCCCCCCCACACTACAGTTGACGTTCCTGGGTTTCTAGTAATTCACATTCATGCGACACGCTGTACAGTTCAGGTA